CCTGCCTCCTTCCTTAAAGTCCACCCCTTTAACCACTCTCAGAGCTCACCTAAAACCTTAAAAGCTTGCTGCTAGCCCTGTGCCTCTTACCTTAGCATTGAATGGCTGGTCCCCTTTGGGGATTTATTTCCCACTTGAAAAGTAATGGTGCCATTGCCAAGAAGAGCTAAGTGTTCCAGAATTTATTATCTATTTATATATTAATTACAAACTAATTCAGTACAAAAGTCAAATAACACAGAAAATGTGAGTTTAAAAAGTGAAATTTATCCTCACAATGCTCTTATACCTAGTAATTCATTCTATAGATATAATAACTTTATTGCTTGGTAAAAACCCTTTAAAACTGCTTTTTTGTAAATCTACCAATGCACTTATACACAGTACCATACTGTTTGCAACTTGATTTCTTTACTATATGAACGACATTTTTTCATGTCAGTTTATTTAAGTCTAATTCATTCTTTTTTTTTACTTATTTTTCCAAATTATAAAAGAAAGTTTATTAAGATTCCTTGCAAAAATTCCATCAAAGCAGATTTGAAAGAGCCTATGTGATCAATTTGATCAATTACTATTCTTGTTGTGTAAGTGCAAATAATCAGGCCAAACTAAAACTGGACTTAATGCAGTCTCTTTGAAAATGAGGGTAATCCTAGAAAAATTGTGTTTCAATGGGAACCACCATATCCAATTGTGAATGTTGAACTCCAGTGTAGTTAACTGTCTTCAAAGTTTTGCTTTTCAGATTGTGTCTATGTATGCCATATAGTGTTTCTGGAAACTTTGGAGGTGCTTATGGAGGTAGTTTTGGTGGGAATGACAATGTTGGTTGTGGAGAAAACTTCAGTGGCTTTGGTGGCAGCTGTGGTGGTGGTGGATATGGCGGCAGTGGGGATGGCTCTAATGGATTTGGTAATGATGGAAATGATTTTGGAGGTGGTGAAAGCTACACTGATTTTGGCAATTACAACAATCAATCTTCAAATTTTGAACCTATGAAAGGAAGAAACTTTGGAGGTAGAAGGCCCCTATGATGGTGGAAGCCAATACTTTGCCACACCATGAAACCAAGATGGCTATGATGGTTCCAGCAGCAGCAGTAGTTATGGCAGGGACAGAAGGTTTTAATTATTGCCAGGAAATAAAGCTTAGCAGAAGAGGAGAGCCAGAAAAGTAATAGGAAAGCTACAGGTTACAACAGATTTGTGAACTCAGCACAGTAGTAACAGGGCCTAGCTGCTACAAGGAAGATGTTTTAAACAATACTCATGTGAATGAGCAAAAATATTGAGGATTCCCTAGCCAGTTTGGCTCAGTGCATAGAGCCTCGGTCCGAGGACTAAAGGGTCCTGGGTTTGATTCAAGTCAAGGACACATACCTCGGTTGCAGGCTCGATCCCAGGGCCTTGGGCAGGAGGCAACCAATTGAAGTGTGTATCTCTCTCATATCGATGTTTCTCTCTCCATCTCTTTTGATGGTTGTGGAACCAGCTGCCTGATGGTTTTTAACTTCATCCCACAAATGCTCAATTGGATTGCGATCTGGTGATTGTGGGGGCCACCTAAGCAAGGTAAAGTGTCCCTCATGTTCTTGAAACCACTCCTGCGCAATAAGAGCACCGTGGCATGGCGCATTGTCTTGTTGGAAGAAGCCACCTCTATTTGGATACGCCAATAACAATGATACTTAGGTATGTTGTGCTATTCAGAAGTTGTTCCACACGAATTAAAGGGCCCAAATCATGCCAGGAAAACATGCCCCAAACCATAACACTGCCCCCACCAGCTTGAAGGGTTGTACTCATGCAGGTGGGGTGCATGCTTTCGTGCTGTTTCCGCCAAATTCTCACTCTGCCATCTGCATGGTGCAACTGGAAACGTGATTCATCAGACCACATGACTTTTTTCCAACGCTTGACTGTCCAATCCTTGTGTTCCTGTGCGAATTGGAGACGTTTTATCTTGGTAACTGCAGACAGCAAAGGTGTTCGAACAGGCCTTCGGTTGTTTTGCTCATTCTCGCTCCATGGCTCCAAGTGCCAACAATCATCCCACGTTCAGAGGCTGTTAAATCGTGTTATTTACCCATATCTTCAGAAAAAAATCACTTCTACTGTCGTGGTAAACAACGTACTTTCCTATTTATAATGGTCTGACCCTCTAGCAACTTCAACACGAAATTATAACTAATTTGCCTACAAACGTCAGGTGGTCATAATAATCTGGCCACTCGGTGTATATATTAGTTCTAAAAAATAAACAAAAACTCAAGGACTGTATTTGTGACTAATTGTATAACAGGTTATTTTAGTTTATGTTCTGTGGAAATTGTAAAGCATTCTAACAAAAGATTTTAATATAGATTTTTTTTCACCCATGCTATTGATTGCTAAAGGTAATAGTTAGATCATGATGCTGAATAAATATCTTTTTATTGATTTCAGAGAGGAAGGGAGAGGGAAAGATATCGAAACATCAATGATGAGAGAGAATCATTGATCGGCTGCCTCCTGGAGATCAAACCCGCAACCCAGGCATGTGCCCTGACCAGGAATCAAACTGAGATCTCCTGGTTTAAGGTTGACCCTCAACCACTGAGCCACACTGGCCAGGCAAATGTGTCTTTTAAAAATAATAACAATAAAATGCCCAAGATTAAAGACAAAGAGAGAATCTTGAAAATAGCAAGAAAATAACAGTTAGTTACCTACAAGGGAGCTACCATAAGATTGACAACTGATTTCTCAACAGAAATTTTGTAGGCCAGACGGGATTGGCACAAAATATTGGCACAAAAAGTGATGAAAAGCAACCAAGATTACTCTATCCAGCAAAGCTATCATTCAGAATCAAAGAAAGATAAAGAGCTTCCCAGAAAAGAAAATGCTGAGGGAGTATTACAAGAAATGCTAAAAGGTCTTCTTTATAAAGAAGAAGAGATTGGTGTGGTAGGCCTCCTGATCTGGCCACACCCGCATACCAGCACTGCCCAGGGTCCTTCTGTTGATATAATTGGCCAGGGGAGAGTGGTCCTCCTTTTCTCTCTGGTTGCTTGAAGATCAACTTCTATCATAAATAACACAGTAACTATCTGAATCAGAAAGTTCATGACCAACAGACAGCTTCAGCAGAAACAAATCATCATTGACGTCCTTCACCCAGGAAAGGCAACAGTACCCAAGAAAGAAATTTGGGAAAAACTAGCCAAAATGTATAAGACCACACCAGATGTCATCTTTGTGTTTGGATTCAGAACCCATTTTGGTGATGGCAAGACAACTGACTTTGGCATGATTTATGATTCCCTGGATTATGCAAAGAAAAATGAAGCCAAATATGGACTTGCAAGACAGAGAGCCTGGCTGGCATGGCTCAGTGGTTGAGCATCGACCTATGCTCCAGGAGGTCACAGCTCAGTACCCAGTCAGGGCACATACCTGGGTTGTGGGCTTGATCCCCAGTGTGGGGCGTGCAGGAGACAGATGATGAATGATTCTTTCTCATCATTGATGTTTCTATCTCTCTCTCCTTCTCCCTTCCTTTCTGAAATCAATAATAAAAATATTTTTTTAAAAAAGGAAGAGAAATTCCCCACCAAAATTTTTTAAATAAGTAAATAAAAAGTGCAGCCAAAGTCACCATCTATGCCTACCACTAGGAGATGATGCGGGGCATGTAGATTTGACACTAGTTGTGAGAGTCTTAAATGTAGTCTTAAAGAATTTAGTTTTTCTTTTCTTTTTTTTATAATCCTCACCTAAGGATATGTTTTTATTGATTTGAGAGAGAGAGAAAGAGAGAAACATCAATCAGTTGCCTCCTCTATGCACCCCAACCCACAACTCAGATATGTGCCCTGACCCACAATCTTTTTGGTGTATGGGACAACACTCCAACCAACTGAGCCATCTGGTCAGGACCTAAAGATTTTGGTTTTTAAGCAAATACAGATTGGGCTTCTCTGAGCTAGGCCACGGATACAGAGATGGATGTGATATTGGCCCTGCCCTTAAAGGTAAACTTTAGAGCAGCCGTTCTTAACCTGTGGGTCGCGACCCCTTTGGCAGTCGAACAACCCTTTCACAGGGGTCGCCTAAGACCATCCTGCATATCAGATATTTACGTTACAATTCATAACAGTAGCAACATTACAGTTATGAAGTAGCCATGAAAATAATTTTATGGTTGGGTCACAACATGAGGAACTGTATTTAAAGGGCCAGAAGGTTGAGAACCACTGCTTTAGAGTATGTGATGTTGAGGGGTAACTTTTAGGAGGCCCTAAAGCCTCCTCTTAAACTCCTCATCTGAAGGCTAGAGCTGTCTCTTTACTCTCCAGAGGAGGTAGGAGGTGGGAAGAAAATGACAAAAGAGACCCTGGTCCCCAGCCCAGCTCAGCCCTCCTCCCCAAGCTCTACTCTGTTAGAATGCTGGGGGTTAGACTGAAGAGGGAGCCCTCCCGGTTCCCTGAGCATCATAGTTTACACTCCCCTGACTGGCTCAAGGACCTAAAAAGGTGACTGTTTGCATAGAACTCCTTCTAACAGCTTTTCCAGGCCTCTCCTGTATCTGCAGACATGAAAAGTTGAATTCTGCAGTTCCAGGGACCTGGTGACTTTGCTGCTTCCCTCTAGACTTCCAAGCTTCCCGGCTCCCCTCTGCCTAAAAAACCATAACAACCATAGTCCTCTGCTCTAGGGCCTCCCAACCCAAAGACCTCTGCCTGTCTCAAGGAATACTGCTTCTCCCTCTTTCCTCTTCTACTGATGGGCAGAGCCTTTCGCCTCCTGCAGGACATGCCCACTCCTCCACTCTGCTCCCCCTGGCCTCTACCCTTATAACCCTCAAATTATCTCGCTAACCCAAGGGATCCCTCTTCTAACTCCCCCACATTGTCCTCTGGGAGCTCTCTTTTCATCTCTGAGTCTCCCCAAACCTGTTTCCTAGTACCCTCTTCCACAGAGTTCTCTAATGCACCTACTTTGCACAGACATATGCACACGTCCCATCTCCCTCTGTGCACTCGGAGATGTTGCTGACCCTTCCTCCCTCTTGCTAGTCACTCTTCCCTCCTCCAATCCTCTTTTGCCCCCACCTCCTAGTGCACGGGATAGGTCTCTGTGCTGGCAGTGCCACTGAGGACAGTGAGGCAGTGACACGCTACTAGGGGAGCACCCTGAAGGGAAAACCAGTCCAGGTTCTCCATCTTACTTCTGGAAAAGACTTTGTTGGATGCTTTTCAACTAAAAGTAGATAATTAATTTAGCCCTGACCTTGTTCTGTCTTTGAATAACAGATAAATTCGTTTACTTGAAAAGAAATCTTTTCATTTGTATTTCCATGTCACCTGTGATTTTCCCTGCCTTCCACCCGCAGCCCTGCCAACTGGCAGGAAGGTTAGCAAAGCTGCTGATAAGAGGAGTATAAAAAGCCTTGGGTCATGGTAAGGGGCCACTTGTGGTCTACTCCACTGGCAACATGCTGAGCTTCCTCGTCTTTGCCACCCTGGTCCTTTATGGTGAGTGGGTCATGTGGCCTGAGTTCTAGGAGGGGATTTGAGCAGGAGGGTCAGAAAGCTATCCCTAAGCCCAGACCTGCTCTCTACTCCAGGGCAGGTAGGATACTCTGCCTGTAAGTCTAGCAAAAATTTTACTCTCTTGGAGCCCATGATAGAAAAGTGTGGGGCCACTCTTGTGCAGGCCCCTCATGAAGCAGAGAAGCCTCTACCAGGGGCCTGGGCTTCCCTCCCACCCCCACTGACAAGATGGCATCCTCAGCAGGTGCCTGTCTGGGTGAGCACTGCTGTCCATGCCCCTGGAGAATCCTGCCCAAGCACTGTGTGTCGGGGGGTGGGGGG